ACACCACCACCACCACCACCACCACCACCGCCGCCGCCATCACCGGTCGCAACCACCAGAAGGCACCATCACTACCACCGGCCCTGACGACCACCAGGTGCTACCCACCTTCCGTGTCTCCCCATCGTCGTCTTCGAAAAAACCTTCTTCGTGTCTCTCCCCTGCCCTCTCTCGCTCTGGTGGCTCTTTCTATCTCTCGCGTTCTGCTCTCGCCTTTATTCTCCGAGATTTCCACCATCTGCGTCTTGGCTCCTTCTTGCTCGCTCCTCGCCACGGTGCACCCCTGCTGTCGTCCTCCTTTAACGTTCGATCGCGTTCGGAGGGAGAGCGCGGTTCCTCGGCGCGGATGGATCCTCGGGGACTTCTGGCGAGCTTCTGCTGGCACGCGGCTAATTTCGGCCGATCGTTAGTGGAATCGGTTAATCCTACGTTCGCCGGCTTTTAAAAGATTTTATTGGTTGACACGTCGCACCGCGGACGGACGATCGTTAAAACTTCTATGTAGCTGTTGAGGAGGTTTTTGTGGCCGAGGGAAACTGGCGAGTTAACACTAGAACTACGTAACAGTCGAAATGACTGGTTTCGATTTGTTTGTTTCGAGAGATGACCCTCACCACATGATTTCATGCAGTAAGACTATAATATTTGATATTTAATATTATACTTCGTATAGTGCATCAATTTGAGAAATATCGAAATAAAACAGCTTTGTTTCTCAATGTATGTTTCTCAATGTCAGAAAATATTCAAATATTTTTAGTGGAGAAACTTCCGAGTGCAAAAGGCTAATACAAAAAGGAAATAAGTAGTATCATACCAGAGAAACTGAAAATAATCTATTGTTACAATTTTTATAGAGATTACATATCAATCGTATTAAATGCTCGGTAGTTCGTAGCGATTCGTATGGTGTTCTTGAGTGTTGCGTAATGGAACTTGATTTGTTCGATGGCGAAGAAAATTAATGTTTATGGTTATTGATTGAGATTGGGAGGTGAATGTGTAGCTGTTGGAATGCATGTTTACAGTTGGAGGTGTAGAACTGGAAAGATCTTCGCGATAGTCGAGGATAGATCGATCGGCGTCTTCTAAACCGAACGTTCTAAAATAAGATGGAGTTTTATTGTAGAGATTTATGAAGTATTTAACGTCGGAGTCGTCTCACTTTCCCAGCTAATCGCGAAATCTGCTCGATCTTTTTGTTGCCCGGTCGAATTGGGCAGGACGTAATCCGATTAAAGATTGAAGGTTCCAGTTAACGTGGAGTCGTGATTACTAAGTAATTTGGTAACTGTGATGGATGAATAAGGGATGCAATTAAAGCAAATACAATCAACCGGCGTGATTAACTTAACGACCATTAGTCACGAAACGATTGGACTCGGATGGATTTCTTGCGTTCTGCGAGTGCCTCATCCTTGGAAACTCCCGACAAAAAATTAATTGTTCCTCCATTAAACGAACGCAAATTACTATCGACAGTTTACCTCGGTAAACGTTGATCACTTATTATTACTATTATAATTTAATATAATTACTGTGATTGTCACCAATAATCATAGTAATCACAATAATAATGTAATTACCATCATTCTTACCGACAACGATAAAAATTAATCGCCATATAATCTATTGTCATTCAACTTTGCCATTACGTTTTCAACCCCCATCGTTTCTCTTCATAAGCACCCATTTCATTCGTGAAATTAACGTTTTTTCAAATTATTTCACGGTTTCTAATTCAAGTATTTCGATCGTTAAAGCGATATAAATTATTTCACCCCCTCCCTTAGCAGTAGAACTACCGGTTCAGTCGAAATGACTGGAGTTTGTTCGTTTTTCTATTGTCGATGCGTTCGAAGCATTGAATATTCGAAATGGTTTAGAAAATGAATAGTTCTACTTCGATGCTGTAATGAATGATCGAGGAAACAGGAAATAATCTATTGTCACGGGTTTTATGGGGATTGCATCCGCTTATTTTTGCAGGATCGTTACGCGGAAGGCGAACCCCCCGCAGGAGGGTGAAAAGTTGCCGTTTCCCTGTTTTCAACGGACGCCGCCGACCGGTTCGTTCTGTACGGTGTCGTTAATGGGACAGACGGTTGCGCGTCTGGAAGAAAAGGCGACAAGGGTAGATCACCGGCTGAGAAAAGGGGGAGGGTGCGCCGCTGGTATTCTTCGCAGCAGGGGTACAGGTATGTGGTCCCATTGTGATTATCACGGAGACACCGGTTCCTTGTATTCTTATGACATTCGTTAATTTGTCAACTGCTAGGAATCTTACGTTCTTGTGGCAGATATTAGCGATATTTATATTTTGGTATTTAGTGATATTCGTATTTCGGTATCTAGTGATCTTTATGTTTTGGTAGTTAGTGATATTTGTATTTTGATATTTAGTAATTTGTATATTTTGGTATTTAGTGATCTTTATATTTTGGTCTCAGCAAAATGTTTATTGTTATTGTGAATTTTGGTCTCAGAAATTAAGTCGTTTGTCGTCATTAGAGATTTTGGCCTTAGAAAACCAAATTTATTTTGGAATAATATTAGTCTGTTATTGTTGTCACGAATGGATCCATTATGGAGTCCAAAGTTTTCCATAAATTCTTGGAACGATTTACCGATTCTCACGATATCCCTCTGAAACAAATCACGCGACGAGAAGTTGAGTAGCAATTTACCGAAAACAATTTCATCGTGGTCGAAATGAAATCACCTGGCTACGAGAGATCGCAATTAACGTGATCCTTTTGTTCCCTCTCTCTTGATCACTTTAATTCAACGATGAACAGCGATTGAGTTTACTCAATGATCAAAATATAAAGCTTTGTATCCACTTGTACATCGTATAACAAAACGATACACAGCGCAACAAGTAATACGACAGTTACTCTTAAATATTCAAATTCCTCCAATGCATTAACAAATACCTACAATTCCCAATCCTCTTTCCCCAACATCCCTTAATTCCAACTAAAAATTTCAAATTCAAACGCTCGATCCACCGACCAAAAATTCTCAAATATCCCAAATGAATCTGAAATCGAAAGAAAAATCTATCAATAAACATTCTAATCATTCAAACATCGAATATTCCTTTCTTCTAATAAACCTTCAGTCTAGATAATTCAATTTTCTACGAAAGGACCCTTCAGTAATTCGACAAATTCTCGTCCACAGTGTCGAATCGAGCGCAGAGCAGTGGATACTCGGCTTAAACGCGAGGTATCGGTCGTCGCGCCGCGTTTAATGCTTCGCGATGATCCCGAGGAGATACTGGGCCGGACGGTAAACGCTGTTAAGTGGGCATGCGTGGCCGCGGGATGGGGGCCCGGTAATTACAGTTATAGAATCGGGCCGAGACGGTTCATCGGTTCAATGGGAACGATTATCATCGTTAAAGCGAGCTCCCGGCCCGGCCGATTCGTTTCTAATATATTTGCCGAACGGTATAACATAATCGCCGCGCGGCTCGAGATCTGTAGGTAATTACCGCGGACGGCACTCGGCGCGCAATCACTTCGCGTGATACCTGTCGGCTGTGGAAACAGGTTGCTCGGGGGAATTCGATGCCACTCGGCTTTTTGCGGTCGACTTTTTTGGAATAAGCACGTTTTTGCTTTCGATTTCGATCTCGGCGCGCGTCGCGCCCTTGGAATGTTCGTTTACTGGAAGATGTGTATCTTTGTACTCTCCTTTTCGTTTATTTGTCAGGTGGAGCTTGCATCGGTTACCTTACTTCCGTTCGATTTCAACTAGTTTTATTGCTTTTGATTTGTTCAGCGTTTTCGATTTCGATCTCGATCCCGGCGCGCGTCGCGCTCTTGGATTGTTCGTTTACTGGAGGATGTGCATCTTTGTATTCTCCTCTTCGTTTATTTGTCAGGTGAGCTTGCATCTGTTGAGTTACTTGCATTTTTTTATTGCGAAGGTTTCGGGAATCTGGGTTTCTTCTTGAAAAGGACACGTTTGAGAATCGAATACTCTCGAAAGCGGAAACTAGGAAGTATTGAGAATCTTTTAGAAACTTAAAGCTTCACTTTCGAAGCAAGAATATTCGCAGCTTTCGAAAATCTACGAAGTTCGACGATTTGGCTAGCTTAGAGTCCCAGGAGAAAATTGTGAATCTTCGAAGATCGAATACTTTGTTTTAGAAAGTAGGCGCTCTAAACTTTTGAAAAGCTTCTGAAAATTCAAAGCTGTATTTTCGAAGCAAGAATATTCGCAGCTTTCGAAAGTCTACAAAGTTCGACGAGTTGCCCAGCTCAGAGTCCCAGGAGAAAATTCTGAACGCTTGAAAGTCGAATGCTTCCTTTCGGAGCTTTCTTTTCGAAGCGGGAACATTCGAAAGCTTGGGGAACCTAAAAGATCTCTATCAACGGAACACCCAGCACGACAATCACGCGTCCGTGACAACGGCAGTTGAGGTTCGCGCCGCAAGCCTCCCTCGAAACGACGCGAAGAGGCGAGTTAAAAAGTTTCTGCTTTCACAGCTGCTCTTCCCCGGTCCCATTGGAAAGTTGTTTATACTTTCGCGCGCGGGCACGCGTATTTTCGAGAAGAGTCACGAAGAGGATGGACGGAGGCTCGCGAGGAAACTCGAATGCTTTCGTAACAGTAACCGTGTATCGGCTCAAGTTTGCGCAGGTGATGCAACCGGCGGGCATTTCGCCGGTTGGGCTTAGTTTCGCGGAAAACGACGAGATTGCTCGGGCCGCGCGCACACCGGTGTCCCCTGTTGCGATTATCAGCATCGTACACCCTCCGTCGCCGCCATTTTTTGTTGGGACTTCAGCTTTTGATAGTCGGATCCTGACATCTGCGCGTCGCGATTCGTTGAACAGGAATTTTTTGCTAACGTTATTACTGGAGTTTCTTGAAATACTCTCGCCAAACGGTTTCAAGAGCGGCGGCGAATGATTTTAATCGTGGGTACAATTGCTTTAATTTGCACTTGATTAATAGCAAAGTAATTGTAGCAGTCGTTGACGCGAAAGGTACAAAGAGTTGAGAGTAGCGTCAGAATTACCTAAACTTTTTGCTGAAACTTCTGCTTCATTAATTTCCCTTTGGAATATTTTGATCATTTTTTAACAATCAGTTGTGCGAATGTAGGATTTGAAACGAAGATTGAGAGTTGCGGTGGAACCTAGCAAAAATTTCGCAAGTTTACTCGGAAAATTCGATTTGGATCGAATTTCGCAGTGGACGGAAAGCAAGGACCATCGAATTATCCGCGTCGAATAACGAGCCGGTTTGATGGGCCTCGCGGAAACGAAAGTTCGGGTTCTAAGCAACATCGCGGTATAGAAAGCACCGACATTCCGCCGCGCCGGCTGCCCGGAGCAATCGATTTCTCGATGCTCGCAACGGAGGCATTTCGCGCTTCGCGATTAATTAGCCACGAGGCAGTTTCGCCTGAGCAGCTCCTCGCCGCCGTTTCACCTACCACTCTGTCGCCCCGTTTAATTTTTGCTCGACAGTTTCGCGAATCTCTCCATCTCTTCTGGGCCAGGTCTCCTAGACATCTTAAATGCAATACTCTTTCTTTGCCATCGACAATTAACACTATTTCTACCGTAGGTGTCAAAAGACACTTTCTGAAATTTTAACTTACAATCCTCTTCTCAGTTTAATAATTCTTCCCCGATTGAATTTTGGACAGTCCCCGTAGCTAACGTTATAATCGTTATTGGTAAAGTCGAAGGTCAGTTCAGAATATACGACTAAGTTTGGAAAGTAGTTTTAATAGTTAATTAAAAATTGATTGATTATTAAGGTATTAATAGTTAATACCTTCCTTCATCGTCATACAGAAAAATTCAATGCCCACATTAGAATTACGGAGCAGTCAACTAAAGTTCCCAAATTCTCCTATAAAGACTCTAAGAACGCACCTACCGAGATTTCAATTAACTCACGACTCAATCTGCGTATTACTAAATCAGTTTCTCTAGTAATTTCGCAGAGAAGCATCTTTTTAATAATCTGGAAAGAAGAATTTAGGGATAAGTCAATTTGACTCATTTGGTACTATTAAGCATCTAAGATCTTAATTTTTTCTAGTCACTTGTAGTCTACTTCTATGTCGAACCCTCTAGAAATGTTTAAACGCTATCAATTTTATCGTTGACAGTTAATATCTCCAGACGAATCTCATTTTCTACATGTTAGACTAATTCCTTAATTACTAAGCACTTTCGACATGTGATCATCCGCCTCCAGTCTCCCGTCCCTAGAAACGATGCAACAATCTGTTCTCTCTCGCTGAAAACAATGTTTAGAAACGTAGGCGTTCCGCAGGACTGATTTCTCTGGACTGCAGGCAGGCAAGAAACCTCGAAAAACGCGGTGGGAATTAATCAGTTGCAAATTAAACATAACCGCGCGGCCACGGTGGATCTAGCAGTCGCGCTGCGTCGTATGCTTCACTTCTCTCTCCCTTCATGCTCCAATTCGTCCGAGCGCTCGCTCGTTCCGCGAACAACGGAGCGCTCGCCGGAATTTAATAGTCGGCGATCGACACGGCTCGCCGTGAAAACTATTCGAATCGTGAAATTCACCTGGGAGGAACGAAAGGATTCGTCATTTACATAATCTTTCCTCCGTTTCTTCCCTTGCCATTTTTCTCGCGCCTTCTTGCGCAGCGTTACATTCAAGATTTATTTGTATTCGATCGTTTCCGCGGTGATGTTGCGTAATAGTTCCGGTGTGAACATTGTCGCTTTCGATATTATTAACCACTTGCGCTGGAAAGACGTTGCTGTTGCAAAACTCTCAATTGATGCCTCGTTGATGAATATACGATTCTTACATTTTTCGTCTTAACCCTTTGCCCTACAATCTCGTGTCGCGTTGAAGACTGCAAATAAAATTTAATAGATATAAATATCAATCAATCCTTCCAAGTCCGAATAGAATATTATTTTCCTATTATTAAATTTAATGCTTCCAAACGTAGACATAGAATTTCCTTTTTCTACCGAATTATCAGCGCTGAAATATCTCTGTCGAGCGCAGCTCAGAAATCACAAGGCAAAGGGTTAACAGCGACACAGCGACGATTTCTTATTTAGAGTTCGTGGTGCAACCTCTTAGCACCTAGGTTGTCAATCGGCAGCAAGAACAGGGTGAATAAAGCGAGAAGCGTGTAAACGGGCACGCGACGAATTCGCAGACAAACGAGCACGCT